GCTATGAGTCGCAAGCGACTCGACGGCACATAACAAGAACAACAACAAATGTTTAGATTAATGGAGAAGAAACTCAGGTTAATATAGGTGAACAATTTTAGACGATTTCTTATATCTTTGTTTTATTTTGGTTAAAGTTTACCGATACCACTGGTTTTCGTTCAGTCACAGTGTAGGCTAGCATGTGACAAAATAATTAATCAGATAATCACACGTAGTTGGGTTTTTTAAGTTAGATCTTTGACACAGAGCACAGATGACAGTTTTCAAGTAAGTGTTTGAAAATGTTTTAAACAGAACGCTTTTTGTAAACAAGGGGGAGTTCTGGGGGCTCAGTGGTAAGGAACTCGGCTATGAACCTAAAGACATGAAGTTTGAATCCACCCACTTGCTCTATGGGAGAAAGATGGGCAATTTCCTCCCATTAAATTCATTGCCTCTGAAAATCCACTGAGTGTCATATATGGGTCAGTTCCAATTCCAATAGTATACAACAATAACAAATTAATAAGAAATTCTAAAAATTGATTAGAGGAGTGGAAGACATAAGAGTTTTCAGCATATGTATTTCATTGCACTGATTAAAAACTCCTGGCCTTTATGGTAATTTTTAAAAAATATGATGCCTAACTTACATGTGAATGACTAATTCATTGGTGTGAATATCAGTTTCCAGGGAAAGGCTGATTGTCATCCACTGTTTTTGGACTTAACTTATGAAAAAAGGAAGAAGTGTCAAGCTCCACATTTCTAATATCACATTTCTCTAAAACAATTGTGTAAAGTTATTGGGGAGAGGGTGGCTCTACCTTAAATGTTTGTTTTGTTTATTTCATTATGTATTCTAGTTCTCATGATTTCTTTCTGGGTTTGGGCAATATATTTTCCTGAGTGTTGAAGATGATTACAATCTAGGTATTTAGGAAGGATATAAAATCTTTATTAACAAATTTTAAGTGTTTTCATGTATTTGCTATTGGCAATATTGAATGACATTATTTATATTAAAATTACTATCATATAAGTGATATCCAGAGAAATGTTTGAGCAGGAGAAAAGAATTTTGCTACATTTATTATTTTTTCTTTCTCTTTGTATCAGTCTTGGGTGAAATATCTATCTCGATAAACAGTGACTGCCTAGAAATTCCCATTTATATCAATTTGATGGTGGCCATTTAATTTTTATTTATATCCTTTCCCTCCTCTACTGATTATAAATACATTTCACAATTATCTTAAGATTACTTTTTGATTAATAAAATTCATACAATATTCCATGACTGACATAGAACACAGTTATAAGTAAATTTATTGTGTGTTAATGTTTGCTGTATACACGAATTCTCATTTATAGCTACATCTTTTAGTACTATGATTCTTTCTGTTATTAGTATATTTACCTCCCTATATGTTGTTTTGTTGTTATTGATTGCCTTCATGTCGAGCACAACTCATAGTGACCCTATGAACAAAAGGCCTGAAACCCCTCTTAAACTGTTAATACTTATCACAGTTCATAGAGTTTCCGGAGGCAAGTTGTTTAGGAAGTGGATGCCAGTTCTGCTTCCAATCACAAGAAATATATACCTTTGATTTATGTAAGGATTATCACCACTTTTATCATTGCGATCATTGTTTTAACCATTTTATAGATGAGTAACCTACAGCTCAGAGAGTTTAAATGACTTGTTCCTTACAAAGAGCATGCTTTGGGGAACTGTAAAGTGATACAACTCCAGTAGAATACAGCTGCAAAATTCCTCCCAAAGATAAACATAATGTCACCATATGACCCAGCAATTGCACTTGCAGGCGTACACACCAAGAGCTGGATGCAAGGACTTAAACGGATACTTGTAGGGATACATGGATAGTCCCTGTCTCATTTGCCACAATAGCTCAAAGGAGAAACAAACCAAGAGTCCACCTCCATTTCTAGTTCAGAGCTGAGATTCTGGCCAAGGAGACAGGTTTTCTAGTTTCTGTAACTTGGTTATGCCACACACATCATGGGCGAGCTGGAACAAAGTTTTCAACTTTCTAGACAATCACTGTTCTTAACCCCTAAAATGAGGAAGAGGAGTCCTCTAAGTTCTAATATATTTCAATTCTAAGAAGCATTGGTAAGAATCAATATTTGTATCCAAGAGAAAGAAATGCCAAGGTGAAGGTCATTTTTAGTCTAGAGACCATATATGAGTCATACTCTTGTGTTCTGCATGCCTCTGTCCAAGTGAGAACACTGGCAGATAATATAGAGTAAAAGGACGATCACAATCCAGCAACCAAGAAGCCATCAAGAAAGATTTACAGCACCTTGTAAGGCACTGGTGTAAGAGGTTTTCTAAGGAGAATGTATCAGACTCACTGACTCCTCTCTGCCCTCTTTTTTCCTACAGGAAATTTCCCCCATCCGTCTCTGCTACAAACTCCAGATTCTCTGCAGCTCTCTCTTCCTGTGGTGAGCAATGCAGCTCCCTTCACAGGAAGCATCTCTAACTTCTCCAGGGTCTCTGCTCCAGCTGTCAGCTCAGCATGGCTACTTCCATCAGCCTCTATCACCTCTTTCCAACCACCTGTGGGCAGTACCTACCATTACCCAACTTCTGGCACAACTATGCAGCCTTCAGTTGGGGGGCAGAGCCAAATCCCCATTATACTGTCCTCTTACCCGGGGATTGTTGGGTGGAACCTCACGGGAAGCACTCAGAAGAAGTCCTCCTCACTTCAGGACTCCACTTTCACTGTCATTGATCCAGACACAGTGATGTCTTCAATACCCGTGGTAATTCAGTATGACAAACCTGCAGATACCAGTACCGTAAGTGCTCTGTACCCAGCACTACCTGTTAGCCTTGTCCAGGGGACACCAAATCAGGGACATAGTTTCTCAGTTCCCCCTCAGGACAGAGGTCAGGTATATTACTGTAATCAGGGCACAGTGGGGCCCCTTGTCTCTGGAGAGCTTGGTCCTTGCCTGCAATCCTATGGCACTGAGTCATACACAGGAGGCAGGGCCCCTGCTCCTCAACCAGAAATGGTGATGGTACTAAAGGAGATTCAGCCTGCAAATGCCCTTCTGCCGGCCTCTACTTCTGGAACTTACTACTCCATCTCTGGTCAACCAATCTCAGAAGCAAGATTGCCAGGTGAGTACAAAGGGTAAGAGGAGAGAAGAAGGAGGGTCAAATCCCTTCTAGGAAATGGTAAGTGCACAACGGAGAACTTAGTTCTAAGACTCTCAACACTACCCTCTGTCAAGGCTCTCCAATGCTTCTAGCCTCCATGTAACACTTGGACCAAGAGGGACATTGTATGGTCCATTTTGTTACAAGTATAAAACCTCTAAGATCATATCCAGGGACATCATAGCGTCCTTTGCCACACATGAGCAATTGCCTACCACCATCATATTGTCATTACCATGCTTCCATGGCCTTGAGGAAGAACTCTGGGGCCATAGGGCTTGACATCTCCAACAAAGTCTGAACACCTTTGGCAGATCAAATGCAAGATTGGGCTCTGATGATGTGGAAAGACTGGCAATTGTCTTTTAGGAAACTTTCTGCCTTAGAAACCCAGTGGAGAGTCAGATATAAGTTGGTTTCAACTCAAAGGCAATGAGTTGTGAATTTGATATTTAAAATTTCTGAAAGGCCCTTCCCAACTCTTATTGCACTTAGGGTCAGTTTAACTTTTCCTCATTTCCTTTTACATAATTTACATAAGGATTTAAAATCTCTGGTTCAAGAACAAATTACTTGTGAGTGACCTAAGTCAGTCTCAGAAAGAAATTTATGGTATAAGACACTAAGTAAAGGTTTCCATACAAAATCAATCTTGGAGGCTTCACAAGGATGAGAAGAGATGGGGCGGGGGGGAAGCACAATTTTTAGTGAAAAAAAATCCAGATATAGATATACAGAAAAATTTTGAATACATTCCTAAAAATATTTTTCAAGTATTTTCTCACACACTCTCTGTTCAAAGCAACCAAATAGAGACTTTGTCTTCAGTAACGTATCTAATGGAGATATTTCCAATCCCTGTCTTTAGTAAGCAACATGAAGTGTTCTTATTTCTTCAAAAGAATGAGAAGGAACATCTATGGCAATTGCTGGCTACATAAAATATTTTTATTCTTAATCAACCTTATACTATTTCTATGACTTATAAGAACCCCAAGAAACAGAATGACATGCAGACCCATGACATCAATGGTCAGAACTAGAACAACAACCTTCAGGGGTCTGTTCTTGGTCCCTCCCTAGGAAGGACTGTACAGATGCTCACTCATTGTAGAGAAGGGCACCTGACTGATTGGCTGTGGGGGTGTAGGAGGACCACCCCACTTACCAAGGACTGACTGACTTCTTCCTTGATTCCTTTGTAGGGATGGAAAGTTCCGTGGGCATGGAGACTTCCTTGAGATGGCAACCTCCATGCCAGATGTTTTGTCTGCCACAAACACTAGAAAGCCAAAAGTCCTGCAGCAGTAATATCCAGCTACTTGAAAGTCATCCACCAAATGAGCTTGGGGACACCCCAGTGATAGCTGCAGGTGAGAGTTCTAGTAACCTCCTTGCACTGCCTCCAGCTCCAAGCCTGGAACAAACCAAGGACAAGAATCCTGATGCAGGTAAAAACAAGCATTTCAAACCTCTGGATGCCTATCCAGTCCCAACGGAATGTGTGGAACTTCCATTAATCCCGTTAGAAATCTCTGATATCTTTGAGCTTCTGTCTTGTGTCGATCCTCTCCATCAAGAGGAACAGCCTGGTGCTGAAAACACTGAAGAAAGAAAGACCAGCTTCAGTGTTGAGGACCAAGGTGCATTTGAAAATGAGTTTGAGTGTGGCAGTAGTTTTGCAGCTATCACCACACTGGTAGATAATATGGATGTTCCTCAAGTTTTTATCTCCTTGGTAGACCTTGATCAAACCAAAGGCCTGGAGTCAATTAAAGCCGAAGACAGCAAAGGGATCAGTGTGGATGTGGGGCAGGAAAAGGCAAGCCTGATAAAGGCTTCCTGTGATCCAGGCAGGAAGAGAAAACACACAGTCTCTGAGTTTATCTCTGGTGCTCCAGAGGCCAAGATCCAGGTAAAGACCCCAGAGGGAGAAGTGGCTGTTTGCAATTCAGAGACCAGTGACAGAGCACGAGTCAAAAGAGCTAAGCATTCTACCAACAAATCTCATATACCTGCATCAGGCAGGATCAACAAAATGAATACAGAGGCCAAGGCCAAAAGGAGTCAAGAAAGCAATTTCAAGAAAGCTGGGGACAGTAAGCAGCCAGGGAACCAAGTTCTAGAATTGAAGCCCAGCATCCCCAAGAGCAAGAGGAAGAAAACTCAGCCTGAGCTTGGCCCGGAGACCTTTAAGAAGCCTCGCAGCAGCCTGGGCATGCACATGCTGGAGTCTGTGCAGGTCTTTCACGCTCTAGGGAAGAGGATTGATAACAGAGCCGGGCTTCTTTCCTCCAGGGCCCTGGGAAACACAAGTAACACCAAAGAGCCCCGGCCAGCCCCAGCTGTCAAACCATGGCTGCACATCCCACCTGAGGGGAAAGGGCTTGAGCAAACCCAAGTCAAAGCCCACAGTCCTGATGGCCATGTAGAGAATCATCCATCTCCACCCCAGGACGAGGGGCCACATCCTGGGAAGGTCAGGCTGGTACCTTTGCCTTTTCTCACCTTGGACAAGCGTCAAGTGAGGCCTGTGCCTCGCAGGCCACAGTCTCTGGTTACGCATTGCCCTTCTAGGCCTGGTTCCACCAACTCAGCTCAACCCATTACTGGCAATCCATCCCAGTCAGCTCCTGTTTCTTCATCTGTGGCGGGTCCTGCTGCACCAACTCGGACAATTTTCCCGAATGCAGCCCGACCAGCCGTGACCAACCCTGCTCGGCCCGGTGTCCTCCAGCCTGCTCCTCCAAAGCCGGCAGCCTGCACAGCAGCATCTGGTGCTGCTTCCCAGGGAGAGCCTGTGACCACCTTTGGGAGCAAGTGGCAGCCCCCACCCAAGCCTCAAACCCAATTGCTACTGGAAGATTTCAGCTTACAACCGATTCCGTGGAGGAAGCCCAACGTCCCTGAGCCTGTGATGTCCAAGCCCATCACCAAGGAGCAGAGGCCAGAGCGTGAGGCCATGAAGAGGCGAGCTCAACAGGAGCGGGAGGAGGCTGCCAAGTACACCTCATTGGGTAAAGTGCGGTTTTTCGCGCAGAGGGAGAAAGACATGGAGATTGCGCGATACTATGGTTATGCAGTCTGATTGGATCAGCAAGGATTCTCCCTGTTTCTTGGAACCATCTGTTTTTTTTCTGTTTATTTACATACACATATAAGTAAATGTAAGTTTATTTATTTAAAAAATTTAATAAAGAATAGAATTACTAGGTCTTTTTACAACGTGCATTGTCTTTTCAGATCTTGTTAATGGTGGTTTTGTTTTTTTAAAGAAGTTAGAATGCACAACCAGAGACACAAGCGATGTGTATGGATTATGGACTGGACAACTAATTGCTCTAAAAACATATCTGTAATTTCACCCAGGGAAAAAGAAATAAAGAAGTTAGAATGATAGAATGCATTAAAGGAAATTTGGATGGACTAATGAGGGTAGAGGATTGTAACTGAGGAACAAATAAAGAATTTAGACTAATGTGATGAAGGACAAAAAGTGAGAGATTTTATGCGCTGAGATTAAAGTGAAGAAAGTATAATTTGGATAGAACGGATGATGACAGAGGATGGGTCTGGGTTAATCGGCTGTTATTAAACTCTTCCTTGGAGATTGTTCTTCTGTTTCCTTGGACTCTTAGGTGTTTTGGACACAAGGGCAGTTAGGCCACACTTGTAACAGGATCAGGTTTCTTACAGGTGGATGGTATAGGTGGTAAAGGTGAATTCACACATGAGGGCTCCCTGGAGGCAAGGATAATGAAGCTTTGTCTCACACACTTGGGTATGCAGACAGGAGAGGCTGTTCCCTGGAGAAGGAGGGTGAAAGAGAAGAAGACCCTTAACCAAGATGGACTGACACAGTGATGGCAATAAAGGCTCAAGTGTGTCAGTGACTGTGAGCTTGGCACAGGATAGGACAGGTTTCAGGTCTGTTGTTCACAGTCACTAGGAATTGTACTTTTTGGTAGCTTACAGTCACAACTCTTTTAATTGATGCACTTAAGCTAGTCCCTTTCATTCACACCAACTAGAGTGGAGAGGGCCAGGCTCAGAGCTCTCCTGGGGCCCAGGCCAGGATTTTCTGCAGCAGTGAGGTCCATCTAGAAAGGCAGGGCCTGCACCATGAAGCATCATTCATTCAGCACCTCTGGTAAAAGCCTTTAGACACGCCACTTCCATTAACCTTCCTCAAACCTGCAGGGCCAGTGTCACTTCATCAAGTGACTGGTGAGATGTAACAATAACCCCAATTCATTGAGGTCACTATTCTCACAAGTCCAGTGTTCACAAGCCAATGGGGCTTTCAGAGCACAGCGTCAGGTCAAGGGTGAGCAAGAGAGGGGCACACAGGGGCCTAAATACTGTTCTGAAGGTTCAGCATTATCCTTTTCCACCACACGGTGGTCCACAGCTTTCCTGATGACCACTGACATTGACCGACAAGCTGGAGAAAAATCACCTCCGAACTTGAACTTCCTATGGAGAGAGGTGGACACGCATGCGCACTGAGTCTTGAGAGGGGCTGAGAGAAGGCACTGAGCAGGCGCCTGATGATCAAGTGCTCCAAGCTGGGCACCAAGAGGAGTGGAGTGGACACGGAGGGTGGAGGGCTTGGAGGTGAGAGAATATGGGGATGTGGGCTCAGGGGAAAATCAGTAATTTACATGGAAATGTCTCCTAAAAGGAAATACTGCATGGCTCAAAATTGGGAAGGGTGTACGCCAGGGCTGTATCCTGTCTCCATACCTTTTAAATCTTTAAGCAGAACAGGTTATCCGGGAGGGTGGGCAGTATGAGGAGGAATGTGGCATCTGTATTGAATCATCAACAATCTGCGTTATGCAGATGACAGAACCCTGCTTGCTGAAAGTGAGGAGGACCTTAAGCACTTGCTGTGGAAGGTCAGGGACTGCAGTCTTCAGTTTGGATTGAGACTCAATATCAAGAAAACAAAGATTCTCGACACTGGGCTGATAGGTATCATCATAATGGATGGTGAAGGGATTGAGATTATTCACAGTTTTGCTTTGCTTGGATCCATAGTCAACACTCTTGACACCAGCAGCCAGGAAGTTTAGAGACGTATTGCGATGGACAAGTCTGTGGTTAGAGACTTCTCTAAAGTGCTGAAGTGCAAAGATGTCAGTCTGGAGACTAAGGTGGGCCTGATACATGCCATGGTCTTCGCAATCACTTCCTATGCATCAGAGAGCTGGACAATGACTAGGGATGATAAAAGGAAAATTTATGCCTTTGAGCTGTGGTTTTGGAGAAGAGTATTGAATATACCATGGACTCCTAGGAAAACAAACAGGTTTGTCCTGGAGAGGATGAAGCGGGACTGCTCCTTTGAGGCAAGGATTCTAAAGCTTTGTCTGACATACTTTGGGCAAGTTGCAAGGAAAGATCAGTCCTTGGAGAAGGACGTCATGCTTGGGAGGGTGGAGGAACAGTGCAGAAAAGGAAGACCCTCAATGAGATGGATTGATTAAGTGACTGGGGTAATGGGGGTAGGTGTGTCGGAGATGGTGAGATTGGCACAAGGTAAGGCAGAGTTTGGGACTGTTGTACTTAGGGTCGCTATGAGTCGCAGGTGACTCGATTGCACATAGCAAAACCAACAATAACAACAACAATAACTTTATTTAGAAAGGAAAGAGACTCGAAATTACTTATAATACATCAGAAATCTGGACAATGACTAGGCATGATACAAGGAGAATTGATGCCTTTGAGCTATGATGCTGGAGAAGAGTGTTGAGTATACCATTGTCTGTAAGGAAAACAAAGAGGTTCATGCTAGAGAGTGTGACATGTGGCTGCTCTTTGGAGGCAAGGATTCTGAAGTTTTATCTGATATATTTTAGGCATATCGCAAGGAGGGCCCCATCCTTAGAGAGGGACATCATGCTTGGGAATGGAGGGACCGTGCAAGAGAGGAAGACCATTGATGAGATGGATTAACTCAGTGCCTGGGGAAATGGAGGTCGGTGTGTCAGAGACATTAAGATTGGCTCAGTAGAGAGCAGGATTCAGAGCTGCTGCTGTGCGTAGGGTCATTATGAGTCACAAGTGAATCAATGGCACATAAGAACAACAAAAACTGATAAGGAAAAACCTAAGCAGGAAACATTATACTTCCTAATCTCAATACAACATCATAGTGATACTGTGACAAAAACAGACCAATGGAGTAGAGTTGAGAACCAGGACCAACTCATCGGCCTACAGTCATCGATCTTTGAAAAGACAAAATCCTTTAAGTGAGGAAATGACAGCCTTTTTAACAAATGGTACTAGCAAAAATTATTTTTACCTCATGCACTTACTGCAGAGGGTCAAGGACTGCAGCCTTCAATATGGAATGAGGCTCAATGTTAAGAGGACAAAAATTCTCACCACTGGACCAATCGGTAGCATCAGGATGGATGGCGAACAGATTGAGATTGTTCACAACTTCAGTTTGCTCGGCTCCATGGTCAACACTCTTGGCACCAGTAGCCAGGAAATAAAAAAACGTATTGCGATGGTAAAGTCTGCGGTTAGGGACCTCTCTAAAATACTGAAGAGCAACAGTGTCTCTCTGGAGACTAAGGTCCGCCTGATACAGGCCTTGGTTTTTGCAATCACTTGTTATGCCTCAGAGAGTTGGACAATGACTAGGGAGGATAGAAGGAGAATGGATGCTTTTGAGCTGTGGTGCTGGAGAAGAGTATTGAATGTGCCATGGACTGCCAAGAAAACAAACAGATTCATCGTAGAGAGGATTAAACCAGGCTGCTCCTTGGAGGCAAGGATTCTGGGGGTTCGTCTGACATACTCTGGACATGTTGTAAGGAGAGACAGGTCTTTGGAGAGGGACATCATGCTGGGTAGAGTGGAGGGATAGCGCAGGAGGGGAAGACCCTCTATGAGGTGGATTGATTCAGTGACTGGGGTACTCCATATGGGTTTGTCAGAGGCAATGAGATTGGCACAGGATAGAGCACAGTTTAGGGCTGTTGTACATAGGGTTGCTATGAGTCGCAAACGACTCGACAGCACATAACAACAATAACAACAACAACTAGCAAAAATGGACATTTGTCTGCAGAAAACTGAATCAAGATCTCACATCATACACAAAATCCCACTCAAGTTGAATCAGATACCTAGGGGTAAAAGAAAGAAATAAAGATTATATAAGAGAAAAATAGGACCAAATTGAAAATCCTTAATCTCTTGTATTAGCAGACTTTGGAACATAATCAAGAATCCATAGGAAGGAGAGGACAAATAAAAGAATGAAAGATTCTAAAATATCCAATCCTATATGGATCAAAAAGAATTCTCCAATAGGGTAAAAAGGAAGCCTACAGTTTGGGAAAAAATACTTGACAATAGCATATCTGATAAAGGGCTTGTATCTAAAATTTATAGGATACTTCAACACCTCAACAGAGAAAGGACAAACAATTACAAAATGGGTTGAAGATTTGAAGAGATGCACCACCAAAGAGGATATTCAATGGCCAACACAAATGAAGAGGTGTTCAATATCTCTAGCTATTAGAGATGTGCAGATCAACACAGCAGTGAGCTACCAGCTCATTCCAGCAGCAATGGAAAAGTCCAACGTGGCAGCAAACACAAATATTGTCAAGGATGCCGAGGTCAAAGGTGGCATGCACTGCTGGCGGGATTGTAGAATAGAACAACACAACTAAAGCCAGTCTGGCATGTCCTCAGATGGTTAAAAACAGAAATGCCATTTGATCCAGCTCTCCGCTACTGCCAAACTACCGAAAGAAATGAGTGTGACACAAACAGATGTGTGCACATCCACATTAATTAAAGCATTATTTCAATAGCTAAGAGGTTGAAGCAGCCCAAGGATCCATCAATAGGTAAAATGGATAGAGAAACTGTGGTACATTCACCTAATGAAGCATTAAGCAGTACTGAAGAACAATGAAGAACTTGTGAAACAATATACAAGGTGGTTGAGTCTAGAAGACATTATGCTGAGCCAAAAACTCTGTAACAAAACGACACAAAACTATATAAGACTAGTGTTCTAAGACATAGATGTCTTGGGGGAGGGACTGG